GACAGAGTTGAAGATCAAATTAAAATTTCACTCCCAAAATAATACAATTTCGGAAGATTATGATAGAGCTGGCGCCGATCTCACATGGGCAATCTGTTCATGAAATTTCATGAACCATTTCTGCAAAAACAAGATATGAACCCAAGCTGCCACAAAGAACTCACAACTGGAAAACTAAGAAATATCATCAATGAGAACGGAAAAACTGTCCAAACCGGGTCCTAAAAAGCAAAGAGATGGGACAATGAAATAACTGTATGGCCAACTTCACGGCCAGCCCTATCACTCATCTTCTGCTCCTCACCGGCAAATTACACAACGATAAGAGGCTGCAAAAAAACATAAAAGAACAAAAGGAAAAAAAAAATGCATTTTAGCAAGTTCGGGAGATCTGTTCGCAACATATTACTATAGCGTTGCTGCAAAGGCGCCGGCAGCAGAACAATTTAGATATTTTCTAGTACCATTTTCTTATGCACTTCGGTATGCTCCACCACCTGAAACACAAAAAACACTTCAGAAACCGCAAAGTATCCTTCACTGTGGTAATCCACGGGCAAATCTCACTTTCCCCACTGCTCTTCTTTCAGACCCTAAATAACTAGGTAACTACAGTTTAACATATATGGCTATAAAAGAGCGACTAGAGCCACAACTATTTTGAAGAACAGAAAGCATGGCCCAAAAAAGCTATTTATATTTTTCACTGAGGCGGCATAACTTACTTTTACATTACTGAAATGAAAAATAAACTTAGTGCAGCTAGGATATCTGCATAACCTGCAGAGTATAGACGAACGCGGATGAGGCACTGATACACTTGCATCGATACACCATAATAACCCCAATAAAAAGTTTAATGCAAGCACCGAAGAAAGGAAAAAAAACTAACGTCACAAAATTCGTCGAAGGAAATTTTCCCATCGCCATCTTTATCGTGAAAAAGTATCGTTTTATCAACTATTTGTTGCAACTGATTGTCTTTCAAATTATTACCAACCATCATTTTTAAAACCTGCAACACAGTGGCTGAAAACGAACTGCAATACACTTCTTAAATCATCAGAAACCCGCTGATTTTGAAAAATCCCGACGCTTTTCGGGTGAATGATGCATGTTTCGACCAGTGGTAAGAAACTTGTACAATAACGCATACATGAATCTGGACGAAACAACATGAAATTGGGGAATTTCAAAAAACAAACAGTTCCAAAGTAATTCAGAGTCAAAAATCTGTACGGCTAGGAACAGAAAGAGGCGCACTTGTCTCAAGCAGACAGCATCCCCCACACTCTCCCCCCC